TACTTTGGGTATATTTCTTATACCCCAAGCCTGAGCTATTTCTTTAGGCATGAGACAAAGGGTAGCCATTCTTGCTTCTAAGGAGCATTCTGGTTGGACTCATTTCTGCCATCATTTTCTCTGTCTAATAATGTTGCTTATTCATCCAGTTGATGATTTGGGATTTTTTCTTTACATGGGGGTGTGTTCCTTATGGAAGGTTGTAGTTTCTGATCTTCATTAATAAATGCTTCCAGCAAGCAAGGTTATGTCACCTGCCTGTCTTCTTCCCTTGTTGTTCTTGATGTGGTCCCGCTTCTTGGATCATCATACAGGTTGGGGTTCAGTTACAGGAGACAGTGCAGTGATTACAGTTCTTCATTTGAGGACATGGGCAGTATCTGATGATTCTTCAGTCAGCAGACAGATGGAATACTTAGAAGGGGAGAATACAAGCCTGATGCACATCTTCCCTGGTCCCAAACCACACAGTATCCCTTGTTTTTGTTTTGTTCTAATAACTGCTTCTTGGACTATGTACTGATTCCACATGAGCACAACTGAAATGTTCTGGAATTCACTATTCTCCCCATGTTCATCCAAATTAACTGTGATCTACACAGTCAAATTAAGAACGGGTAAAATTTTTTCTGATGTTGTCTGCTTGTACTCAAAATCCAGTTGGTAGCAGAAATTATATCTCACATTTCACATTATCTTCTGAATTCACCTTGAATATCTGGCAACAGCTTGTGGACATATGAGAGGGTGCCCCCCCAAAAAAAACAAAAACAAAAACGGAAAAGGCTCTGCTTGGCAGAGCTTTTATAGCATCAAGCAACTAGATCTGAGTTAGAGCACCCAGTGGTGTCACCTGGGAAGGTTCTCTCTGGTCACTGTGAATTTTTTCATAAAAGCAATTTTGCTCGAACCTTGTTGTTGTGATGGCCGGTTTAAGAGAACAATGTGGGGCTGTGAAATCTTGTTTCCTGCCTGGGAAAAATGCCGCAGAAATGGCTGTAGTGTTGAAAACACCTTACAAGGACAGCACTATGAGAAACCGTGTATGAGTGGTTTTCTTGTTTCATAAAAGGTGAAATGTTGATTGATGACCAACCTCATTCTGGACATCCATCAGCTTCCGAACAAATGAAAATGTTGACTCTTAGTGCATTCCACCAGGTCAGACTGTTAATCGAGCTTTCTATTTAGAGGTTCTGAAAAGATAGTGTAACAGTGTGCGACAAAAAAAGGCCTGATTTGTAGCAGATGGGGGACTGGTTTTGCCACCATGACAATGCACCTGCTCACGCTGCCCTCTGTGTGCCAGTTTTGGGCAAAAAAAACCCTAAAACCAACATGCGTCTCTTGCCCCTGACTCACCTGACCTTGCTCCATGCGATTTCATTTTGTTTCCACGAATAAAGAGGGACATGAAAGGATGGTGATTTGACATAGAAGAAATGAAGAAAAACCAAGAGAGGTGCTGTCAGCCATCCAAACAGATGAGTTTGAAAAATGTTTCTGAGAATGGAATCGCAGATTTAACAAATGTATTAAGTATAATGGAGAGTACTTAGAAGGTGATGAGGTTGTTTTGTTAAAAAAAATTTAAATCATAGCATTGAGGGGGAGAAAATCCAGGTTTTGGGGGGAGGGGGTTTACCTCCTGGTACTTCTGTTGCAGCCATGTAAAAATTAGATTCAGCAAATGCTTTACTTACATACATTATTTATGTTGTTCAAATGCTTCTGCATTCTTCTGGATCACCTTTGTTTGGAATAGGCAAGTAGATGAATCTTCCAGATCATTGTCCAGGTAGCTGTCTTCTCAGTGTGTTGAAAATGAGCACTAGAAGCATCGCAGGGGTATGTTGAAATGTTTTAATTGCATTTTTTTCAATTCTTGGAAGCCTTGCTTGTGCCAGTGCCTTCAGTGGCACTGTTTTATCAGCTCATCTTCTCAGCTTGTTTCTTCTGAACATTGCCCAGTTCCTTTTGGTACAGGGAATCTGGTTGTTCGTTCCATCTTCAGCCCTCTGCCCTGTGTATCACTGTTACTGGAGGGTTATGTGCACGACAGCATGGACCTCTGCTGCCTTTAACAGAGTGTGTATTTCCCTGTTAGTTTTTTAACTCTGGGGCTTTTTATGAACATACTTTGTCTTCTTAAGCCAATCTTCAAAATCATCTTTTCAGTTATTTTACTTAATCATTTCTTTTTTCACTTTAGCTATTCTTATTTCAAGAGGAAGTTTCAGAACCCCCTCTGATAATTTATTTCAGGTCTTTCTTTCGTGTCTTTTTATGACCTTTTGGTTTCTTAAGGTATGATCTTTTCTAATATCATCCTGTAAGTCAGTCCAATAAGTTCTGCTGCTGTTTGTTCAGTTTCCAGTTGCTAGTTTTTTCGAACGTGGTCTGCTGCCTTTTCAGTCTGTTATTCATCTGGAAGCTTCACTGAAACTGCTCTGCTGACACTCCTGTTGGTATTTGATACACTAATGGCTTTAATTTCCAGTGTCACTGCAACATGCAAGTCACCACAGTATGAAAAACTGACAGATGAGGGTGCTGTGTCTCCCCACACCACACTCACTGCCCTCGATTCAGTCCTGACTCATAGCAACCCTATAGGGCAGCATAGAACTGCCTCGGGGGTTTCTGAGACTATAAGTCTTTATGGGTGTAGAAAGCTGCACCTCTCTCCTGGTAGAGTGCCCAGCCAGTTGTTCATACAAGTGTAAGGATTAGAGATATTTGAATGTATTTTCAGGGAGGCATGAATGTCTTTGCTTGCTAATAATCCTATAGAAGTATCACAAGTGTGTATTTTTAGAGCACAGGGAATTATTTAAAAACACACACACACTGATATTGGGTTGAGTCCAACTCATAATGATCCTCTATATGATGCCCAAGGCTATAAATCTTTATGGGAGCAGAAACAATTCTCTCCTGCAGAGTAGCTGGTGAACAGTCAACCTTGCTATTAGAGCCAGGCGATAACCCACTAAACCACCGAGATCCTTCAGGAAGGCCCTCTGACTCTGCTCTGGGGCAAGGTCTCTGTCTCAGCTTTCATGGCTCCTGATTTCCTCAGCTCCTTGGCAGTTCTTAGATATGCTTATGTCTTGCCCCTTTGTTTACTCTGCTCTTTTTTGCCCCATAAGTGATTAGGAAACACTAATAGTGGTGGGGATGATTTTATTAGCATGACAAAAAGAAGAGTATTCTCAGTTGGATTAAAGCCACAGGTATAACCACTTGCCTTTGAGCTGTTCCCCTCTCAGAAAGACCTTGTACCGACAGAATTGCTCCTGGGGTTTCCGAAGCTGTACAGAAGCCGACTGCCACATCTTGGTGGGTGAGAGGTTCAAACCTCTAACCCTTCAGTTAGCAGCTGGGTACTTAAGCACATCACCACTTGGGTGCCTCCATCATCAGATCTAGGGGTTAAGATTACAAGTCTTATTTGTGGGTACACAATTCATTGTGTAACATTAAGTAATTAGAACTCAGGGTGTATAGTGTGTGTGTGATTGTGTAAGAAAAAAAAACATTGAATATGCTGTTGGTGCCTTTGAGTACTAAATTAAAGCATCTTACCATATTGATAAATTATCTATTTTATGAAGCTCTCGCTCTATAATATGGCTCATGTCCTCTGACACTATACTGTATGTTCTGTGCTCTAACCACATTCTGTCCAAATCCTGTCCGTGGTGCCCCTGTACCAGCTCTCCCTCCTCCGTCAAGTTCTTCCTAACCATTCAAGTTCTCTTCGACATCTTCCTTAACTTTTAGTTTCTTCATCTCTCATTTTCCACATGCACACAGAACCCTTGGCTGGGTTTGACCTCTTATGTCTCTTATCTTCACTACCCAACTAGATGGGAAGCCATTCAAAGACAACAATCTATTTTTTTTCAGTTCTCTGCATCAGCTGGCAGAATGCATGCACCTAGATGTTGCAGTAAAGTATGCATTATTCAGAAGGGAAAAACACACTGAGTTGAATGATGCTCAACTGAATCATTTCAATTTATGTGTTTTCAAATATTAGTGTGTTTGAGAGACAGTGTTAGCAGCATATAATGGCACGTAAACCCCCAAGCAAACTCTCTGCCATAGCGTGTTGACTCTGAGTCATAGCAGCCCAGAAGGGCAGGGTAGAGCTGCACCAGTGGCTTCCAAGACTGTCACACCTCATGGGAGTAGAAAGCCATGTTGTTTCCTATGGGAGTAACCGATGATTTTGAACCACTGACCTTGCGGTTAGCAGCCCAACTTGTAACCACTAAGCTACCAGGACTCCTTAAGGGTGGAAGAGGGGTGTATAGTTATTTTAATACGTTTCTAAACTTTTCCTAAAGCTCAGAAAAAGCTGAGGATTTAAACAGTCTTCAGCTTTTGTCAACATCAGAAAGTTCATGTAAACAGTTTTATACCTATGTATTGTGTATTTAAGTCGTTTTAAAATTCATTATCGCTTTGTTACTGTTTAGTTGCCGTCGAGTGGACTGTGGCTCACGGTGACCCCTTGTGGTCAGAGCAGACTGCTATAGAGGGTTTGCAAGGCGGGATCCTTTAGGAAGCAGATCCCTGGGCCTTTAAAGCTGGTGCCTCCGGTTGGACTGGAACAGCTAATTTTTCTGCTAGTACTCAAGTGCTTAACTCTTTGTGTCACTTAAGGATGCCTTATTATCACCTATGCATATGAAAATCAGAAAGTTATGCATATTTCTGATTAAATTACATCTGGTTCTCATACCCACCGCCAATCATGGAAATGCCTGATAAAGGTTTCCTTCAGAGGACTTGTTTAGTCATGTAATAGTCATGATAGACAACTCAGTTTTCATGCCACGGAAGCTCATCTCTTTTTGAACGCCTTTATTCCCTTCTTCAATCCCAAATGTTCTCTTTTCAGGTCACTACATTCACACCTCTTTCCCGTTGTGTCCTTTTGCTTTGAATTGTTCCTGATGGAATCTTCTTTTCGTTGCCTTGTTTCCTAGATGGGAAGTGATGGGATTTTACGCCTCAGTACGTCAGCTCTAAATAACGAATTCTTTGCATATGCAGCACAGGGTTGGAAGCAGCGGCTGGCAGAAGGTAAGTTTCTATTTTCTATTATTATTTGACATATCTGACCACAGATATTAGACTGAGCTTTGTGGTCTTTTTTCCTGAGTTTCAAATGATTTTCCCTCTGAAGTTTAATTTAAAAAACAAACAAGCTACATCCTGTTCCAGGAAGCTCCGTTACGCTAAAGGACAGGCATCCTTGTTGTCGCTGTACTTGGTAGTCCTGATTTCACGTGGATGTATGAGGGGGTACCCAAAATAAACCTGAGGGTTTTTTCCAACATTTAAATGTTTTTTACAAAACAACATCACCTTCAACGTACCCTCCGATCTCTCCATTATACTTAATACATTTGTCAAATCTACGATTCCATTCTCAGAAACATTTTTCAAACTCATCTGTTTGGGTGGCTGACAGCACCTCCCTTGTTTCTTTTCTTCGCCTATTCTCTATGGTCAGCTCACTGTCCTTTCATGTCCCTCTTCATTCGTGGAAACAAAAAGAAGTTGCACAGAGCAAGGTCAGGTGAGGAAGGTACTGGGGCAAGAGAGGCATGATGCTGTTTTTGCCAAAAACTGGCTCCATAAGCAGGCACATTGTCGTAGTGGCAAAAGCAATCAATCCTCCTGTCTGCCACAGATCAGACCTTTTTTGTCACACACTCTTGGGCTATCTTTTCAGAACCTCTAAATAGAAAGCTTGATTAAGTTTGACCTGGTGGAATGCACTACAAATGCACTATCCCCCCACATTAAAAAACAAACAAACAGATGAGCATCATCTTGATCTTTGATTTTACTTGACAAGCTTTTTAGGGGCAAGGTGACTTTGGCATCTTCTATTGCCTTGACTGATGTTTGATTTCGGGTTTGTGAGATAGCATCATGTCTCCTTGCCAGTAATGACCTTGGAAACAAAGTCTGGGTCGCTTTGAAGCTATTCTTTCAAAGCACGGCATGATGCTCTTTTTCCTGGTCGGTCAGAACCTGAGCCACAAATTTTGTCCACATTTTCATCCGTTCAGGAAGTTGATGGATATCCAGAATGACGTTTGTAATCAGTCAACATTTCACCTCTTTTGAAAGGAAAAAAACACTTGTACACTTGAGTTTTGCCCGTAGTGCTGTCCTTGTAAACTGTGTTCTACTGTACAACAGTTTCTGTGGCAAATTTTACAGCTGCATGGTATTCTCTTAATCAGGCATCACAGAAACTGATTGGCGTGAAACTGCTTTTACTAAAAAATTCACTATGACCAGAGAGGAGTACCTTCCCAGGCAACACCACTGGGTGCACTAACTCAGAGGGAGTTGCTAGATGCTCACCTACTGGGGGCAGGGAGGAGATAATGCGCATTACAAAGCTCCACCCAGGGCGGAGCTTTTTTCATATTTTTTTTGTTGTTGTTGGGGAAGAGGGGCTTACCTTGTATTTGAAGGAAAGGTGGCATTACCTGGGAGGTAATTTAACAATTGGATAGTGCACAGTTTTCCTTGAAATGGTAATTTAAATTACCGTGTGGTGCATTTTGTAATCTCTCAAGTGTCCTGTAGCCTAAAGAGACTTTTTTTAAAATAACACCATCCTCCACCCAAAGCCACAACATCACCTTGCCCTGTCTTCATTCACAGATTTCCTAAAACATTAAAAAATACTTCATGCTATCAGAATTTCATCCCCTGCTTCCTCCTAAGATTGTTATAGTCTGATGTGGCTCAATGTTCCAAAAATGAAATATTCTTCCTAGAAAAATACAGTCTAAGTCCATCTTCTTCTTCCTGGTCCTCATGTGCTATAATCCTTCTCCAATATCATGTATGCTCCATTCACTCCATCCAACTTAGCACTTTAGACAATATGCATACAGGGCAAACGGTTTGTTGTTACTGCTTTTCTGACAGCCCTTTCATAGATTTCTCCAAGAACCTTTTGCTGGTAAATATCACCTGTTTCTAGCCTTTTCTTCTCTGCCATTTTCTTTTGTAAGTTGTGTGTTCTCTGAAGTGTCTCACTCATGGACCTGGTTTCAGCGATCCCCCACATGCCAGGAACCTGGAAATCTGGCTCTAAGTGTGTCTCCAGATTCTGCTACTCAATTTGCAAATGGCACCTAATAGCAGACACCTCAAAACTAACAGCCCCAATATAGATCTCATAATCTTCCCTTATAGGAGGGGGCTAAAAGATTAAGCAATACGTTGCATTGGGTATATTTGGTGCACAAGACTTTTTGAAAGTGTTGAGAAGCAAAGATGTCACTTTGAGGACTAAGGTGTGCCTGACCCGAGCCGTGATGTTTTTCAATCAACTCATATGTATGTGAAAGTTTGGACATTGCATAAGGAAGACCCCCAAAGAATCAATGTGGGCTGCCAAGAGAATAAACAGATCTTGGAAGAGGTACAGCCAGAATGCTCCCTACAAGCAAGAATGACAAGGCTTCATACATCTCATGTACTTTTGACATGTTATCAGTAGAGACCAGTCCCCAATCAAGGTTATCATCCTTCATAAGTAGAGGGACATCAAAAAAGGGGAACACCCTGAACAAGATGGATTGGCACAACAATGGTCTCAAACATGGCAACAATGGTGAGGACAGGGCGGGGCTGGACATTGTTTCATTCCATTGTATATAAGGTTGCTATGAGTCAGACACCTAACAACACCTTCCCTTTCATGTCGACTCTCCTTCTTTCTCTCTATAAAGCACTTGTCTTCACACCGTTGTCAGACCTCTTCATCCAGCCTGCTTACCTGGCCTTATTTCCTCCTCATTGAAAGCCGCCATGTCGTTCCCTCCCACCACCTCCTGTAGGGGGAAAACCAAAAATCAGAACTCTCTTTAGAACACACGTTAGGTAATTAACTTCAACCAACCCTTCCCATTTTCGATCATTCTATATTCTACTCACAGTTGACTGTTCAAAAGGACCTTTTGCACATTCTTATCTCTCTTCCTGTTCACAAACTTTACAAAAGCCTGGTCATTCTTCAAGAGCTAGCTCAAGTGTCAGCTCTCAGTATGCGGTTCTCCAGAATCAACATAGAACTATGCACTTCCCCCATATTTATACGGCACTCATGCCCATAGCGTCAGGACTTTTGGCATTACATTACAGTCAGCTGTGCAAATGGATAATGTTCTCACCTGCTACCCCAAAGGCTCCAGATTCAAGTGCACTTAGAGGCACCTCAGATGAAAGAGCAGGCAATCTACTTTTGAAAGCTTTATGGCGCACCGTTCTACTCTGAAAACATGGCTTCCGTGACTCGGAGTGGATTCTGTGTCAGTTGGTTAAGGATGCCTTTTCTCTCATCAGGCTTAACTTTCTTGAGGACAGTGAATATACCGTATATACTCAAGTATAAGCCGACCTGAATATCAGCCAAGGCACCTGATTTCACCGCAAGCATTGCATAAAAATGTGCTGAAAAAACTCGGCTGATACCCAAGTATATAGGGCATACTTCTTTACTTGAAGCCCTTAGTTTTTAGAGCAGGGGTTCTCAAACATTTTAAACAGGGGGCCAGCTCACTGTCCCTCAGACCTGTTGGAGGCTGGACTATAGTTTAAAAAAACTATGAACAAATTCCTATGCACACTGTACCTATCTTATTTTGAAGTAAAAAAAAAACAACGGGGCAAAAACACCCGGCGGGCCAGATAAATGTCTTCAGCGGGTATTCTTCATTTCACCCTGCAACATCCATAGAAGTTTAGTTAAATGAATTGCATGTTGTTCTTTGTTAACTGAAAAAACAAAAACTGCCCACTTTTACTCAACATATTAGTATTTTTCTTTCTAGGAGAGTTTACCCCAGAAATGCAATTACGAATACGGCAAGAAATTGAGAAGGAAAAGAAAACGGAACCTTGGAAAGAAAAATTCTTTGAGAGGTTTTATGGGGAAAAGTAAGTACTAGAACATTTTTTCTCATTTCTTTGAGAAGGAAATGAAAATGTAATTCTCTGCTTCACATAGCACACTCATATGCTGTAAAACTTAATAAACCTGTGATAAAAGGCAATAGTCCCTCAGTGTAAGAAATAGCGAGTAAAATTATAGTGGCATATCAGCACTTAAATTTAAAAAAGTACATCTCCAAGGGTTTAAAACTTGTCCATAAAAATTTATCTGAGACTGAAAATAGCACATGAAATCCTATAGAAGTCAATTTTGGTTTACTTAAGTAGATTTTACTAAAAATGTCCTGGTTTTTAATCCAATCATTTTCATTAATGAGTATTTTGCAGTTTAGTAGTTTTAGGCACATATTTTATCCTCGCTTCTTTTGTCAGGAAATATGGTTTGAGCATGTATACATTTTAATCTACTTTAACTCCTTACTTTTGGGAGAGAATGAGTTATTACATTCACTCTATCCATCTTACTCTTCAGTTGTAGTTTTAAAAATATATATTATTAATGTTATGCTATTAAATATACATGTAAGTGATGACGACGGAGGAAAACTGGAAATAACTTCACTTTTGCATCACGGTTTGCAGAGACCAGAAGCATTTGGTTCTGAGTCGTTGCAACCGTACAGGACAGAAGAGAATTGGTCCTTGGGGTTTCTGAAACTGTCAGTCTTTACAGGAGTGCACAGCCTCGTCTTTCTCTCGATGAGGAGCTAGTAGGTTTGATCCACCACTGTCATGGTTAGCAGTTAATACTTTGCCCCCTATGCCACCAGGGCTCCTCATACACGTCTTAGCAGGCCTGAGCACAAGTAATTCATATTGACTTCATATGTAACTCTTAGTAGCATGGCCCAAGCCCACCAGCATCAAAATCCTTACTGGAGCACTCAGAAAATGAACATAAAACTCTACAACCTTACCCAAACGTACTCATGGAAAACTCTTTAGGAGGTACGGAGAGATGTCTGCATTTAGAAAGGTTTCCAGGTCCTGCGGTTGCCCAGCAGGTTTGAAGCCTCGAGGACCACTCAGAAGCGCTGCCTCTCCTCTGGTCTGTGAAAGGGAACACTGGGGGCATTCTTCAGCAGTGGCAGAAGCATAACTAAGTTGCTTACTGCTAGAGTCTTGGCCTTTTGCTGTGGTGGCCTGACGGTCTCCTTCTTGGCCTGTGCAGCAACATTTCTCCACCACCGCTGTGACAGAGGCTGGTCTGTCTGTAGGGGAGTTTCTCTAGGTCTTCCTCTTCTCCCAGGAACCAGTCTACAGCCAAAGCCCCACACAACACACAGAAACCCTTCCTTTATTCAACAAGGAACCTTTGAGCATCCTCTATTTCTGAACTATTTCTCGTTGTTTTGCAAATATTATTTCATTGAAGCCCCCCCAACAGTCCTATAAGTTATATATCATTATTCTTATTAAAAGGAGTTTAGGAAACTGAGATAAAGTGCAAGTAAGTCATTTATGCAAGTTCATATTGTGAAGCTAAGTAACTTGCTCAAACCCTTCTTATAAAATCCTTTTTCTCTCAGACTGGTGTGCTCACCCTTGAGGGTTCAGCAAGGGAAGGGGCATAAATCACTAGCTAGAGAGTAGACACAGATACAGTATAAGGAAGAACAGCACAAAATGGTCAAACCAAAAGCAGACAAGGGAAGGAACACCGATTTAAAGGCAACAAAGGTAAATACTGTGACATACACAGTTCTGCAATAGCAATGACAATGTTCTATAAGCAGTTACGTAGATAAACACAAACAAGTGTGAACAACTAAACACAAATGCAGCGAGAGGTAAGGAGACGGCACTCAGGCATGTGTATAGGTTTGACAGAGAATATTTATATACATATCTGTTGCCAAAATACTCATGAATTTAGTCTCAGGTGGCACCAAGATCAGTTGCTACAACATAGCCCACAAAGAAAATATTCTACATCCTACTTTGGTGAGCAGCACCTGGGGTCTTAAAACCTGTGATTAAGCATCTAAGGCAGCAGTTCTCGACCTGTGGGTTGCGACCCCTTCTGGGGGTCAAATGACCCTTTCACAGGGGTCACCTAAGACCATCGGAAAACACATATTTCCGATGGTCTTAGGAACCGAGACACCACTCCTCTATCTGTCTCCAG